GGCCTTGTGATAGTCTGGAGTCGGTTCCAAGTCTAGATGGGCTTTCATCTCTTCAAAGTATTAGTATTGCTGGCCAGGGGTTGAAAAGCATATGGGGGAGTTTATCTACCTGCACGAGTCTCAAGAGCTTGTCTATAGGGCCTTGTGATAGTCTGGAGTCGGTTCCAAGTCTAGATGGCCTTTCATCTCTTCAAAGTATTAGTATTGCTGGCCAGGGGTTGAAAAGCATATGGGGGAGTTTATCTACCTGCACGAGGCTCCAGAGCTTGTCTATAGGGCCTTGTGATAGTCTGGAGTCGATTCCAAGTCTAGATGGGCTTTCATATCTTCACAGTATTAGTATTGCTGGCCATGGGTTGAAAAGCATAGGGGGGAGTTTATCTACCTGCAAGAGTCTCGGGAGCTTGTCTATTGGGCCTTGTGATAATCTAGAGTTGGTTCCAAGTCTAGATGGGCTTTCATCTCTTCAAATAATTTATATTAAGCACTGTGGGTTGAAAAGCATAGGGGGGAGTTTATCTACCTGCAGGAATCTCAAGAGCTTGTTTATAGAGTATTGTTCTAGTCTGGAGTCAATTCCAAGTCTAGATGGGCTTTCCTTTCTTCAGGAGTTGACCATATGTGGCTCTAAGTTTCTAGTGTATGGGCCTAGTGTAGATAAGCTGTACTCTCTTAAAATTATAATTTCGGGTTGTGGCCAATTGAAAAGCATTGGGGAGAGTTTATCTAACTCCGTGTGTCTGAAGATTTTGTCTATATGTGAGTGTGATAGTCTGGAGTCGATTCCAAGTCTAAATAGGCTTTCCTCTCTTGAGACTCTAAGAATAGAGAGATGTGGTGGATTAACAAGTTTGCCGAATGGTCTGTCATCTTGCACTGCTCTTGAGACCTTGAAAATAAGCTTCTGCAATAATCTGATCTCTATATCGGAGGATTTGAGGGACCTGCGTTCTCTTGTTGAATTAGAAATTACATGGTGTGGAAAACTGAGGAACATCCGAGGCCTAGGGGAGATTCTTGGCTGCCTTACTCGATTGAGGAAGCTGCGTTTTGGTGGTTTCTCTGCAGAACAAGAGGATATAGAGGAATACCCCACCCAACTTGAAGAATTCAGTTTGATTGGATGGGAAAAACTAGAGAATCTGTCATGTCAAATTCAACACCTAACTGTCCTTAGAAAACTTAGTTTATGGGATTTCCATGGAATCGAAGCTTTGCCAGATTGGTTGGGAAACTTATCGTCTCTTCAATCTCTGGATATTAAATTCTGCGAGTCGCTAAGATATGTGAAAGCCATCCGACACCTCTCCAATTTAAAAAGACTTGGAATTTGGAGCTGCCCCGAGTTAAGGGGAAGATGCGCCAAAGAAAGTGGTTCAGAGTGGAACAACATTTCTCACATTCCAGATATCTCAATAGATGGGAAAAACATTTCTTACAAATAGATGATGATGATGCGTGAATTGAATTTGAAGAGAGACGCCAGGTATCTTTATCCTTTATGTGCATTTCTTTTTAATCCTTCTTTCTCTGATTAAATTAAAACTTTTAATTATGTCTTTGGCTTTTCTTTTGTCAATCTCCTATGTGAATAGCATCTAAAACCAAGTTGTTTATCATTTCAAGTCCAAAATTGAGGCCTCTTCTTCATAATTTCTTTGCCAGCAATGGCAACGCAAATTCAAGTTTTAAAATGTTGAATTAATTGGCCGACTCAAATGCTAGCTTTATTAACATTTTAAGTTGTATTTTTTTTCTTTTTCTTTTTCCAGAGGGAGGATGATGATGAGTGAGAAAGACAATTAACCGCAAGAAAGGGAGCCTTGTTTTGTTGCAAAACCTAATAAGCTTTACAGGTCTCTCATTCTGCATTACATTAATTCTTTTTCTCTTTTTTTGTTTGTTTGTTTGTTTGTTTGAATTATTATTATTATTATTATTATTATTATTATTTTTTACTTTTCGGAAATTCTTGTTGTTTGGTGTTGTTATTGTAAGAACCTTGTAAAACCCTCTTAATAGAGTGAAGCTTTTTTTCATGGACCAAAGGTTACGTGGTTTTTACTCTTCTGTTTAAAGAGGTTTTCCACAATCATGGTCTCATGGGTATTTGATTTCCTTGTCTATATTGCTCGTCTGAATACTTACTGTCTCATCTACATTTCTGGTTAAGAAAATGTTAATTGTTTTTCAATTGTTTACTGGTTAAGAAAATGCAACCCTGTGTACATTCATTTTCGTTTTTCCTTTTCTCTTTGAGCATTTGAAATTTGGGGATGGGTGGATTTTTGCTTTTACAAGGGATTCATCAAACATATGCAAAGCCCATGGGTGTCCTCTTGCCAGTGCAATTGCAACCACTACTGCAAGTGCGCTAGATTCATTTGCGTTGAAACCATATATTAAATTTCGAAAGATTGCCCCAAATTGTAAACAGTGAAAAAAAAAAAAAAAAAACTACAATAACTTGTGACATGTTTAATTTTGCAGTTATGCCACGTAGAAATCACATCTTTGCTAAATTGATGAATCATTCTCTAAAATATTACGCAAGCCGCAAGTCTCCTCAAGCCAAAGCCATCGGACTTAACCTGTTAATCAATCCATATCCACAAAAATCTGCAACATATTCAAAAAAAAAAAAAA